TAAGCTCGGTTCGAGCTTGTTAAGAAGCTCGTTTACTAATATCCTAAATCCATAATTCTCCAAATATATTTTTATTTTAATATATATATATATATATATATATATATATATATATATATATATATATATATATATATATATATATATATATATATATATAGTAGAAAAGTTTAAGGCCCGTGCTAAGCACGATCTTTGAATTGTATTTTCGGTATTTTTTAGAAAAACCATAAGATAATACTGACAAACCATATTTAAACAAATACATTGCGGTGTTCTTTCTTGAAGAGTTTTTTAAGGCTAAATGCATAAAAATAGCAATGAACTTTCATGCATAGTTTTTCTTTTGATTTTTTTGAAAAAAATGTAAGAACAATGCTATTATTAGAAGCTCTCTTGATGAAGTATGAAAGGGGAGATGTGCTCCTGGACGCCTCATATGATAAAAAATAATAAAGTGTATAAGGCTGAGTAATTTTGTCTCACCCTGCAAAAAAGAGAGATAAGATTTAACTCGGAAATGAATATTTTGGAATCAAATTGAATAAAATTCTTACATTTTAAGATTCTCGTCACTAATGCAATGCATTGCAATGTTGAAATAGAATGAAATGATAGTATTATAACAAACAATATGAAATGAAAGTACATTTCACTAATATACAGATAAATGTTTAACATAATAGAAAGAAATGTAAGCATGATGCTATAATAAGATAAATAAAACTCGAAACTACAATGATTGGGTAGATTTTTCGAATGTCCTTAATAAGAAAAAAAACAATGATGTAATAAGATTGAAAATAAATAAAATGCTAAAATAAATAAATAAGGAAGTACATGTCTCTAAATGAGATTAGTTAATGTTGATTACCTTCACTTCATATGGACTGGTGAGAAGAGTAAAAGTAATATTACTTGCAGTTTTTCTCAATTTTGTAATTATAAAGTCTAGTTATCTAATATTAGAGTTTAAAGACCATCATATATCATAAGGGGGATTATGTTATCAATGTTTCTGGACACAAAGCATCACCTGGTTAGGTGTCCAATATAATATTGGCTATATTGTTGTTAAGTAGGTGCATTTTTAAGGGTTGCAACACCAATTCACATGCGGCTGGTTAAAGAATACGTGCCATTTGTTTTATTTTAAATTGTTCTTTCTTTTTCATCAGCAAACCTTACTTTGTAAAATATGGAATTGTAATTTAGATTATATTATCATGAAAAAGGTTCATGTCATTATTAAGAATTATTAGATGAACTAAAATGGGCTATATTGCAATTTCCATTCCTTTCGGTTATTGAACGGAAAACAAGCACCCCTAGAATGAAAAGTAACAAGTTTGATAATTTTGTCAATTTCTCAATGGAATCTAATGTGTCGACAACTGTAGGCGTAATTATATTTCAAGAAGCCAATACACGTTGAAACAAATCAGAAAACGTAAAAAATAGTTTAACAAATCTAAATTTAGATGCCATCTAAAAAATAGTTTTCTTGAGGCTGTTGAACATGACGTTTGGAAATAGCTTACAATATTACTAAAGTTTACCTTCTAAAGCTAAATTAAAAATGAAAGTTGATAATTATGAGAGATTAGGGAAAATATAAGTGGAGGCAATAGATATTACCTCAAAAACCCTAAAATGGAAGAGGCAAATGTACAGAGGATGTCTTCAATCCCCTACAAATCCAATCAAAATCAATATTGAATTCAACATATCCACAAAAAATTGCAAAAGAAACCACCTAAACAATATAATTAGATAAACTTTCGCTTTTAATTTCAAATGATACAAACACAAAAATTTTCATAAAAAGATACAAACATTAAATTGTAGAAGAAATCACAAATTGACTGATGGGACAAAATATTTCATCTGCTTTGCATACCTGTATAAGTTGAAAGTGGAAGACCAACTGAAACCTCAACCACCAATTCATAGCATACATGAAAAACATATTTTACAACAAAGAAAAACCATATCGGGGTTACTTTAGTCCTTCTATAGTGTTGGCAAAAGTGAGAGTTTTTAACACTAAAAGATAATAATAAAGAAATATAACAACCCTTGAAATGCAAAGATTACTTATATTTAGGAACGACAAATTATGGTTTTACCAAGTAAGATTTTAAAACCACAACTTGGAACAAATTCTGGAAGAAAATCGTGTTTAAATCTCTTTTACTTTATGAGACAACAAGCATAACCACCCTCTATAATTCTAGAAAATGAATATGCATGAGAATACTTATTTCCTTCAAAGCAAACATAAATATCAGATACTGCAACCGTTCATTAATCTAAAAAGTTGAAGAAAATCATGCAAATATAATTAGTCATTCTTGGCAAATATATAACTACACCAAGCTAAGACCTTTATTTGATTATTTATTTTGAATTGGTAATTTCTTTGAAAAAATTCACCTGCCTCGTTTAAAACACATGAAAGCAATTTCCCTGTAAGAAATAAAATTCCAGGCATCAATGAGAAGAAAACAAAAAAAACAAATTTTAAAGATGCTGAAAACAAAAACATATTGGATTGGGAATCAGTGGAAGAAACCTGGTGAGGAGAAGTGAACCGGTAATGCCAAAGTGAAGAACGAGGCATGAATTTGATTCTTCCTCAATCTCAATAGGGTTAGTTTTGCCAATCTTCGCCTTTGAGAATTATAAGAGGCATTCCATGTTGAGGCGGTGCCTAGAAGATCGATTGTAGAAACCCAAATCGCTTCTAAAAGTTGAAGCCGATCATAAAAATGCGAACTGTTCAATTGACAATCGATTGTAGAACTATTCAATTGACAATACGATGACATGTAAGCCTATAAATATCTTCCCTGAATGAACAATAAACCAAGAAAAGAAAAAAAATCATTGACAATACGATGACAAGGAAGAACATATGAGCGTGGTTTTAGTAACCAAAAGCCTTAATTTCAGAAACAAATAAATAAATAAATAAATACTCGGCCGGGATCGATACATGTCAATGAGTGAAAGACAATCCCATACGAAAGAAGATGAACATGCCCGACGAGGACTGATATTTATAGATGGGAGGAAAAAATGACCGGTACTTACCGATTAGGAAGCGGCTGTGGATGACGATTTAATTATGTGGACATGAGAAGGTCTGAGCCGACGTAATGATAAAACGTATTGGTGTATTGTGTCGATTAGGGTATAGGTTATGTGGCACTGTTACAAGCATGTGAATGTGATTTTGGTGGCTCCTCATCAAAAGGGTCTTTATATATATATATATATATATATATATATATATATATATATATATATATATATATATATATATATATATATATATATATATATATATATATATATATTTATTTATTGATAAAAGATATATAAGTGTAAAAAGCCAAAAACATAACACCTTTTTGACTATATTCGGATATGGCTTTGTTAAAAGCAAAAGGAGAAAAAGAAGTGTCATTAATCTGTAACACAAAAATGTAAGTGGTATGGTATCATTATTTGATGTACATTAAGCAATACTAAATATGAAAAAAGAAGCATAAAAGACATACAGATGCATGTATCTTCTTTTTGCTCCTCCATTTTTTTCTGTCTTGGGTTCACGACAATTAAGATAAGCCATTAGAACTTTAGATACTTGGTTTCAAAATAGAGATGAACACTCATGGACAAATAAAAGTCAGGGGCCGAATACTCTCCTGCCACTTTTTGTGACCCAACTGACTTAGCATCAAGAAATCTCACCATTTCTAGCATGAATCCTGAATCATCTATCATTTTTTTTAACACATCAGAGGTCCCTCCCATCACAATCAGAAGATTCAACAACTATAGAGAGAGAAGTTTGATAGCCAAATATGCCATGTGTCCCCTCCCACCTTTTCAAAACAAGAAAACAAGAAAGAAAGAATTTGATTTGAAAATAATATGCAAAAACCAAAGAAAGTTCGTAAACTTACGATTGTGCAATTATTGAGAAGGATATTAGCATTGCAACTGTCACCATTATGCACATTCATTTATGAATTAGCACACATCTAAAATGATTCAAACACACACCCTAATCACCTATGTTTGTAATCAACAACTTACACATCGCCCTGTCTCCTCATAAACATTATTCATTAATATATCTGGTCACATAATACTTTTCTTAAAAGGCATGCATATCATCACTCATAAGCATATATTTAAGTGAAATAACACCAAAATTTTCGGACTAATCAACTGTTATGGTGAAACTGAAAACCCTAATCAGGGAAAATTAGAGTAAAATAACTCAAACTTCCGAATTGTTGATTAGAGATGAAAAAGAAATAATTTACGTGATTCAATCTTGTCTTCTTCCCATCTGTTTTTTTTCAATAATAGACATAGACCAACACCAGAAACAAGAAAGAGTCGCACGAGTGGGTGTAATGATTGGATTTGAGAGAAATCCATGTAAGACGTCATGTAAAAATTGAGTTCGTAATCATAAGTAAAAGAAAACGAAAAACATTGAATATGATTGGATTGGAGGGAGTGGTGCTGTGGAGAAGGAGGAGGTTGGTGTCCCAAAATGGAAGGAAAAAAGAGGCGGACTAAGCAGCCGTTTCCTGAACCTTTGATGAAGATCGTAAAAAAGTAAATCAAAAAGGGGAGTAATGATATACCGGAGCATTGGCGGGGGAAGAAGATATCAAATAAAGGGGAAGCGGTCATAATTTTGTTCAGCAAGATGAGGAGCGGTTATATACCCTCTTGTCTTCAAGAAGCGTACTAAAGGTCATGTGGGTTGGATCCATCCTTTTTTTTTCCAAAGCGGTGGGGAAAATGTTTCGATTCACCTAATCCCTTTAACATCTGTATTTCGCCAAACCCGTCTCACCGGCTATGCGCGATGAATATTTGAGCAAGGTATTAGGGTTGTTTTGGGGATGATATGGTCGGATTTCCTGTTGGGGATGAAGCCGAACATTTTGTTGGAGATGGGGAATTAGTGGATGGATTCGCAGAAGGGAGATGTTGAACGAGAAGCCAAAAATGGATTGAGTGGACGTAATGATAATTTGTGTTCATCGGCGGGTGGGTTACGCAGGGGTGTTGGAACCGTGTGAATTTGATTTTGGAGGCGTCAGAAAAAACATGTTTTTATAAGAGGTCGTTTCGGTTCATTGCATCGTTCATCGGAAGATAACGACATGCGCTCTTCTTCAAACCAGTCACACGCGCTCTACGCGCTCCCACAAAATTAAGGTTTTTATATATAATAATGATATATATATATATATATATATATATATATATATATATATATATATATATATATATATATATATATGATATACATCCGGTAAGAAATTTTTTTTGGTAGGAAGGTAAGAAGTTTTTTTTCTACATATATTTTTGACGAACAAAATAAATGAATCACTAGATGATTCATTTGTAAGATGATTCACAAGAAAAAATTCCCAAAAACACATCTATATGATTAATTTTTAAGTAAATTAAGAAAAAAATTCATTTTTATGATAATTTTAGTGAATAACAACAAAATCATTGTATAAATGAATCATCGTGATGTTTTTTTGAGATTTTTTCTTGTAAATCATATTACAAATAAATCATCTAATGATTCATTTTGTTTGTTTACGAAAAAAATATGTTCAAAAAAAAATTCTTACCTTCCTACCAAAAATTTACTTCTTATTTGATCTTGACTATATATATATATATATATATATATATATATATATATATATATATATATATATATATATATATATATATATATATATATTAACAATTAATGCAAGAAATTCTTTAAGACAACCGGGCAAGAAGTGATAAACAGAAGGAAGAATTAGGTCGAATAATTGCAATTTCTTTATTATCACGTGCCCTTGTATGTCCTTGGTATCATCTTTCATTTTTTTTATTTTTTTTTATAACATATATACTTATTAATCATAAATATTATTAATTCATGCATGAAATTCATTTAGTATAACCGTATAAGGAGTGATAAATACAAAAAAAAAAAAAAAAAAAAAAGTTTAGATCGAGCAATTGTATCACTGGCCCCTTTTAGATCCTTGGTAAATACCATTTCCCTTTTTCATTTCTTTAACATATTTAGTGTCGTAAAAACCAAACTAGTGACGATTAATCTACAATTAGTCCTTGGGTATTACTTGGCCAAATAGAATGTGTCTAGCAATTAATCTCAACCTAAACAGTGAATGGAATTGTAGAAATCTATAATTTTGAAATACTTTGAAACAGTTGTATAATGTTGTATTAATTATATTAACCTATTTTGGTATGATATTAATGATATTTACCTATTTTTCTATGATCGTAGTCATATTTATTTTCTTAAAAATTTAGTGAATTTACAATTTTGGGCCTCCGACTAATCGCAGACTAATCACTACCTAAGCCGATTAATATCTAGTCACTAATCAACCTGACCGACTTAATGCCATCTAACCATTTTTACGATTAATAATTAATGCAAGAAATTCCTTTAGGACAATCACAAAAAGAGTGATAAACAAAAGGAAGAACTAGATGAAGCAATTGAAATTTCTTTTGCTGAACCTTTAAGGAAATCGGATGGTAAGCTTCTACCAATTTGAACATCGACAACCTCATCCATTTCATTTTTAATCTTTATCAATATCACTATCACTGATACATATTTTGTGTGTTTGAATTACTTTAGCATATAAGTGGCAATCAGGTGATGATAATGATCTTGCAAAATCACATCAAAATGACTTTCATCCATCAAACCCTCCATATGTACCCAAGGGAAATAGGTATTTATTATCTTTTTGTTGCTAAAAACATGATATAACCTTGATTTAATCGCTGTATGCATATGTTAATTTCAGGGTATGTGGTGGCTGCAACCGTGACATTAATTACGGCAATTACTTAGGTTGCATGGGGAAGTATTTTCATCCAGAGTGTTTCCGTTGTCATGCTTGTAGTTACCCAATCACCGAAAAAGAGGTAACACACACACACACACATATATATATATATATATATATATATATATATATATATATATATATATATATATATATATATATATATATATCCTCCTACATTTTAGTCTTATTATCCTTCTACCGACATTATATGGTGACAAGGGGACAAAAATATCATTAATTTCATTATATATGTCATTAAATGTATATATTAAATCTGCATTCAAATGCATTTCTTCAAGTACTTATTAGTGTTTTTTTTTCTTGATTCAAGTTCTCTTTATCAGGGAAAGATACATACCATAAGACTTGCTTTAAAGAGTTGACTCATCCCAAATGTGAAGTGTGCTTTCAATATGTAAGGGAAACTTTTAGCTTAAATGTGGTATATATTAACTAACTTTTAGGCCATGTTTCTTGTTTCCCATTAAGTCCTTGTCGGAGAAAGTGGCTAAATGGGTAGGATTATGTCTATATGGATAACATAATGTATATAAAAAGGGTTCCCTTAAACATTAAAAAGAATATCAACGTTAGCTATCGTAATTCTTTAAAAATAAAAAATAAAAACAAATTGCATAAACGTTGATATTCTTTTAAAAGAGACAATTACATCAAGTGTAACGTTATATTTTGGCTTTTAATTAGATTCCCTTAAATGGAGATGGATTAATCGAGTATCGATTACACCCATTTTGGTCCCAAAAATATTGCCCCGCACATGAGCTTGATAATACAGCTCGATGTTGTAGTTGTGAACGACTTGAGGTAAAGTTCCCATTTCATTTTTACACCATTTCTATAACATTTCATAATTAATAATTATGATGTTTGGAAATATTTGAAGCCGATGAATGTAAGATACATCTTATTGGAAGATGGAAGGAGTTTATGTTTAGAGTGCCTAGAATCTGCAATAATGGATACGGGTGAGTGTCAACCACTTTACCACTCCATTAGAGACTACTATGAAGGAATGAACATGAGAATTGATCAACAGATTCCCATGCTTCTTGTTGAAAGACAAGCCCTTAATGATGCTACCACAAGGGATAAAAACGTAATTAACTAAATCATTTTTATTTTATTACTTGGTTGTTAAATTCTTGTGATTTACAATCTTATCTTTCAGGGGTTCCATCGTTTGCCTGAGACAAGGGGTATTTGCCTTTATGAAGAGCAGACTGTTGCAAGTGTATGTTTGCCTTTGAGTAAATTGATAAATTTTATTTTGCAACAAATTAGTGATTAATATATTTTATATATTATTCATTAATTATTCATCATCATGTTTCTTGAATTCTTGTTGCAGATTCTAAGAAGGCCGAGCGTTAGTGGTCATCGGTTGGTGGGAATGAGAACTCAATATCAGAAGCTGACTCGCAGATGTGAAGTTACTGCCATTCTTGTTTTGTACGGTCTTCCAAGGTGACATTTGCATAGAAAAAATAAAAAATTAATAAAACGCTTGGTAAACTTTTAAGAACTTTCAATTCATTTATTCAATTTTATCTTTTATGTAATCTATTTTTAAAATAGATGATAAATTAAAAAAATGGTTCGGGTTTACCAGATTTAGTCTAAAATTGAAACTTATTCAACTTTAGTCCCATAGATTTTTTGATTTTGATCCTTATTTCATGGTTTCATATCAAGATTATGGTTCTTATATTAAGGTTCCAACTTCCAAGGATCAAAATCAGTATGAAACTAAAGATCAAAGTGGAAAAGTGTTACAACTTTGGACTAAACATGGTAAAAATCAGAAAGCATATGGACCAATTTTGTAATTTACAATAAAATATGACCAGAATTGGGCCTTTTTTTAATTAAATGTATAAAAACTTCCCCCTTTCAATTTCACGAGTTCAAATTATTTAATTTTGGTAACTAAACGTTGCAGATTACTAACTGGAGCCATTCTTGCTCACCACTTGATGAATGCCTGGTTACGTCTTAAAGGTAACAACTAACATAGTTTCTCCAATGAATTGAAATTTTTTGTACTAGGAAAGTTGTGTTAAAAGGTTTTTGATTTTGATAGGTTACAGGAACCTAAATCCTGAGGTAGAAGCAGGTATCTGTCAAGTGCTTTCATATATGTGGCTCGAATCAGAGATCATGCCCAACATCCCATCATCATCATCATCATCAACAACAACATCAAAGAAAGGTGGGAAATCAAGAAATGAGAACAAGTTAGGTGAATTTTTCATGCATCAAATAGCTCATGATGCATCACCAGCATATGGAGGAGGGTTTAGAGCTGCAAATGCAGCTGTTAATACATATGGCTTACGAAGAACACTCGATCATATTCGCCTTACTGGAAACTTCCCTCTGTGAGGTTTTGCACAAATACCTCTTGAGGATCTAAAGGATCGACAATGTGCACGAAAATGAAAACGAGAGAGTGGGCCTTGATTGCTTTTAAATTAATAAACCTGAAAAGGGATTTGTTTCCACCATTGTTATCGTGGTTTTCATTTTTTTGAAAAATTTTATGAGGGTGGGTGACCTCAAACTATTAGCTATGGTGTGGCATAAAAAATGGATTGGTTTCTGTAAAGATAGTTTTTTTTTTTTTTTTTTTTTTTTTTTTTTTTTTTTTGATTTGTTTCTGCGAAAGGTAATGTTTGATTTCGTAAGTAATCTAATAAATATTTTTGGCAACCTCTTTCATTATGTTTATGAAAGGGAGATACGATCGAAGTTGAGTAACCTTTGGTTTTTAAATTAGTAGATGCGTAACCTTCAGTCTCCAAATTTGTAGACACAACCATTTGTGATTAGATTGCATTTAAGTTAGCATACACCTGACCTTTATTCTCTAAATTAGCTGACATAGAACTATTTATGACATAATTCCATCCAAGTTAGTAGACATATAACCATTAGTTCCCAAATTAGTAAGCACATATACAATCAAAATGAAACCTATAAGAGACCATCGTAACTCATCCATCATACGTTCAGATACTAGGTTCCTCAAAATCAAGCAAATCAATCCTCAAGACTTTCAATAATTGGCACTTCAGGTTCAAGAGTTGAACCGAATTTTTTCAACGCTCATAAATCTCTCATGTGAACTCGAATTAGGCTGATTGGATCTTCTTCTATGTCTTGGCTACATGTTAGGATCAAGAATCAACTAGTTTTGATAAGTATAGCATGAGTTACATATCCCTAAACATGGCTACTTGAAAACTTAGATTTTCTAGACAGTCTTTTTTTCTTCCAAGAATATGTGCAAAAAAAATTCTACAAAATTGAACACTCGTAATTTTCTCATATGAACTTAGATTGGGCAGATTCTTTTTCCTATATGTTCTTTGTTGTCTTGATATATGTTAGACTCAAGAACCACATGTTTTTTTGTATTTAAGCTTGATTTCTCTAACCTCAAGCATGGTATCATTGTATATAGAAAAACAATACTAAAATGAGATTGGTACTAAAATACATGTACTGGAACCGAACCGGTAACATATAACATCCATCTTCATACTTGGTGCCGGCAAATTCAGAATTTTTGTTTCGGTATCGGTTGGTATCGGTTCAGGTTCAGGTATCCGTGTTCTGTATGCCGTTCATTTTTTTCCGGAAAATTTCTCTTTCAAAAGTTGGTTCCCTTATACAAAATCCGATCAAACTTAAGATACCAATCTTACCGTAGATTTATTTGTGTGAATTTTTGATCTTCTTTTATGGATTGTCCAGAAACAACTTATTTTATCATTTTTGATCTTCTTTTATGGATCGTTTCAGAAACAACTTATTTTATCTTTGTCAAAGATTCTCAGCTTATCTTTATTTCTCTAGTCTTCCCCACTTTCTCTTGTTTGCTCTACAAAAAATTCTATCTATTTTTCTATTAGAACTTATACCTTTCGCTACCCTTTTATAGATTCCCCCTTTCTTTTCTTCTTCAAAACATCTTTTCTTCTTCAAAACAATTAGCTTTTTTTATTATCTAAAATGATGCCATTGTTCTTCTCCCCATCTCTCTCTTTTCCATTTCACGATTTCAACTTCTTGAGATCATGGTGACCAAACTATGCATACGTCTCCCAACCTACTAATCATGTCTTCTTCAGAGAAATCCTTCATTTATTGGAGAGGAAATCCTCAGTTTATTGGAAACGAAAATAAAGTATCACGCCCCCCTTCTATATCATTGGTAAATATAATATATCTTACTATTTATATATTTCATAACATATATATTTAATACTCATAACTATCATTAAGTAGTGCATTAAATCCATTTAGGACAACCGCATAAGGAGTGATAAACATGAAGAAGAATTAGATGGAGCAACTGCACTTTCTTTAGTAGCACGCGCCCCTTCTAGATCCTTCGTAAATACCTCCTTTTTTTGTAGCATATATTGTGTTAATCATAACTATTTTTAATTAATGAAAGAAAGTCATTTAGTACAACCGCACAAGGAGTGATGGACATAATGAAGAATTAGATCGAGCATTTGCACTTTCTTTAGTATCGCGCGCCCCTTCTAGATCCTTGGTAAATACGTACCATATTTTATTTTATAACATATATATTATTAATCAAAACAATTAATAATTAATGCAAAAAATTCATTTAGGATAACCGCATAAGGGGTGATAAACACAATGAAGAATTAGATCGAGCATCTGCATTTTCTTTAGTATCACGCGCCCCTTCAAGATCCTTGGTAAATATCATATTCCTTTTTTTTATAACATTTATATTATTAATCAAAATTATTAATAAATAATGCAAAATTTTGAATCAGAACAACCGTGCAAGGAGTGACAAACACAATGAAGAATTAGATCGAGCATTTGCACTTTCTTTAGTACTGCGTGCCCCTTCTGGATCATTTGTAAATACAATCTTCCTTTTTATAACATATATATTATTAATGAAAACTAATAATAATTAATGAAAGAAATTCGTTTAGGACAACCGTACAAGGAACAATAAACACAAGGAAAAATTAGATAGTCCGGTTGCACTTTCTTCCGTATTGCATGCCCCTTCTAAATCTTTGGTAAATACAACCTCATTTTTTTTTTAAAAAAACTTATTTATTATTAATCATAACTATTAGTAATTAGGACAACCGTACAAGGAGTAATAAACAAAAAGAAAAATTAGAGCGAGCAACTGCACTTTCTTTAGCTGAAGGTTTAAAGAAACCGATTGGTAAGCTATTACTAATTTGAACATCGACACCCTCATCCATTTCATTTTTAATCTTCATATGGATCATATCACATATAAACATTTTGTGTGTTTGAATTACTTTATGATATCGGTGGAAACCAGGCAATAATAATGAAAGTATGGTATTGCGTGCTCCTGTAAGATCCTTGGTAAATTCCATCTTTTTTTTTTCTTCTTTTTTTCATTTTACATGCCATATATATGTATTTTATTATAGCTAAAAATACAAGAAATTCATATAGGACAACCGCACACGGAGTGATAAAGAAAAGGAAGAATTAGATCGAGCAATTGCACTTTCTTTGGCTGAAGGTTTACGGAAACCAAATGGTAAACTTTAACTAAATCAAACATCATCACCTTCTTTTGTAACCCTCATTTTCAATCCTTATCTATATATACACAGATGAACATTTTGTGTGTTTGAATTACTTTAGGATATGGGTGGCAACCAAGCAATAATAATGATTTTGCTAAATCACTTCAAGATGACTTTCATCCATCATACACTCCATATGTACCCCGTGAATATGTACCCATGGGATATAGGTGCTTCTTATCTTTTTGTTGCTAAAAACATGATATAACTTTGATTTAATCTTTGTATGCATATCTTAATTAATTTCAGGATATGTGGTGGGTGCAATCGTGACATTGGTTATGGCAACTACTTGAGTTGCATGGGGACCTATTTTCATCCAGAGTGCTTTTGTTGTAGTGCTTGTCGTTACCCAATCACCGAAAACGAGGTAATTTGTTTTCTTTAATCATGCATTCAAATTCATTTCTTCACGTTCTTATTTGTTCTTTTTCTCTGTTGATTCAAGTTCTCTTTATCAGGGAAAGATGCATACCATAAGTCATGCTTCAAAGAGTTGACTCATCCCAAGTGTGAAGTCTGCTTTCAATTTGTAAGGGAAACTTTAGCTTAAATGTGGTACTATTAACTAACATTTAGTCCATGTTTAGTGTTTCACATTAAGTCCTATCTGAAGGAGTAAAATTAGTCTGTATGGATACCGAAATGTATGCAAAAAAAAAAAGTTTGTTTCTTTTTTACTCAGTAAACTGTCTAAATGCAAGTAAACCATCATTTTACCCTTACACCCAGATCGACTCGAAATTAAGTGCCTTAATCAAATCCAAAATTTTTGTAACGATTTGGAGGGTCTGAATGTATTAAGTAAAAATAATAATAAAAACAACCTTATATATATGTCCACATAAGAGCTGAAACCATGAGGTACACTAAGTAGAAAACAAACAACACGTTGGCTAACTTGATTCTTAATTAAAACTAAAAAATAAACACCAATTGCATAAAGGTTGATATTCTTTATAAAAAGACAATCACATCAAATGTGATATTATCTTTGCTTTTTAGATTCCCACAAATGGAGCTGGATTAATCGACTATCGATGCCACCCATTTTGGTCCCAAAAATATTGTCCTGCACATGATTATGATAATACAACCCGATGCTGTAGTTGTGAACGACTTGAGGTAAAGTTCCCCATTTGTATACCATTTTTATAATATTTTCATAATTATGATGTTAATTTGGAAATATTTGAAGCCTGTGAATGTAAGTTACATATCTTTGGGAGATGGAAGGAGTTTATGTTTAGAGTGCATAGAATCTGCAATAATGGATACAGGAGATTGCCAACCGCTTTATCATTCCATTAGAGACTATTATGAAGGAATGAACATGAGACTTGATCAACAAATTCCCATGCTTCTTGTTGAAAGAGACGCCCTTAATGATGCTACCACAAGGGATAAAAACGTAATTAACTAAATCGTTTTTATTTTATTTATTTATTTATTGGTAGTTGAATTCTTGTGATTTACAATCTTATCTTCAGGGGTTCCATTATTCGCCAGATACAAGGGGTCTATGCCTTTCTGAAGAGAAGATTGTTGCAAGTGTATGTATGCCTTTGAGTAAATTGTTAAATTTTATTTTGTTTATATATACATTGATTATATATTCATCATCATGTTTCTTGAATTCTTGTGCAGATTTTAAAAAGGCCAAGAATTGGTGGTCATCAGTTGGTGGGAATGATAACTCAACCTCAGAAGCTGACTCGTAGATGTGAAGTTACTGCCATTCTTGTTTTGTATGGTCTTCCAAGGTCACATTTTTATCATTTTCTTTTAATAAAACACTTGAGTACACTTTTAATCAATTCATTCCTTTTCATTTTTTGGTTAATCTATTTTGGAAATATATGGTAAATTAGAAAAATGGTCCTGTGCTATTTTGCTTTTAAAAGATTTAGTCTAAAATTGAAACAAAGGACCAAATTGAAAAATGTTTCAACTTTGGACTAAACATGGTAAAAATCAGAAAGTACGTGGACCATTTTTGTAATTTACATTAAAATATGACCTGAATCGACAGTTTTTTCTGTTTCTTTGAGATCAAATTATTCAGTTTTGGTAACAAAACGTTGCAGATTACTAACTGGAGCCATTCTTGCTCACCTGTTGATGCATGCCTGGTTACGTCTTAAAGGTAACAACTTACATACAGTTTCTCGAATCTTAAATTTAATCTTTTTTAAGATTAAGTTTTTTTTGGTAATAGTAAAGTTGTGTTAAAAGTTTTTGAAATCTGACAGGTTACAGGAACCTAAATCCTGAGGTTGAAGAAGGTATTTGTCAAGTGCTTTCATATATGTGGCTTGAATCAGAGATCATGCCCAACATCCCATCATCATCATCATCATCATCAACATCAAAGAAAGGTGGGAAATCAAGAAACGAGAACAAATTAGGTGAATTTTTCATGCATCAAATAGCTCATGATGCATCACCAGTATATGGAGGAGGGTTTAGAGCTGCAAATGCAGCTGTTAATACATATGGCTTACGAAGAACACTCGATCATATTCACCTTACTGGAAACTTCCCTCTGTAAGGTTTTGCACAAATAGCTCTTGAGGATCCAAATGCTCAAAAATATGCAAGAAAATGAGAGAGTTGGTCTTGATTGCTTATTAATTAATAAACCTCAAAAGGGATTTGTTTCTGTCATTGGTATCGGTATCGTGGTTTTCTGTTTTTGAAAATTTTATGAACGTGTGGGTGACCTCAAACTATTAGCTATGGTGTGGCATAAAAAACAATGGATTTGTTTTGTAATGATAGTTTTTCTTGATTACCTTTTGAAGTTCTTATAATGTATTTTTATGCAAGGTTAACAAAAAAAAAAAAAATCAACATAACAAGCTTGAAATTGATATAAATGAGCCCCATGTGTCCATGACCACACTTTGAATAACAATTATGCGTTCTGCTTTTGGACCTATGGTACATTGAACAACTAAGCCATAGCTTATTTTCAAATAATGTATGAAAAAGATGAATATCATTCTTTAAATAGTAACCATCTGTTTTAAGTAGCAAAAGGTAATTTTTGATTTCATACGCAATCTAATAAATATTTTTTGGCAACCTCTTTCATTATGTTTATGAAAGGGAGGTCATGATCAAAGTTGAGTCAAAAAACTTTATATTGATCTGATTATTTTAGGTTTGACTTATATTAACTTTTTGGATATTAAAGATGAGTATTATTTTTATGGATATTAACATAAAGAAGATATTAATGGACTTGAAATAATTTATGTTTTGGCCAATTATATTGATGATAGTTACAAAAAACATATTGTTTTTTTAAAGGGCCAAGTATTTAATAAGGTTGTAACAAAGTACTTCTCGCCCGGTATTAACCGATGCTATTGGGATATGGATATATGTGATCACACGTCTATATGAGATGAAAAAATGATGATTTAGAAATATAGTATATATATATATATATATATATATATATATATATATATATATATATATATATATATATATATATATATATATATATATATATATATATATATATATGTGTGTGTGTGTGTGTGTGTGTGTGTGTGTGTGTGTGTGTGTGTGTGTGTGTGGGCAACAAATCCTCTTGGTGAATAATTCTCTTATAAGAAAGTAATTATTAGATTTTATTATTAGTTATTAAATACAATAAAAAACTAATATATGAATTTAATATTTTAAAATTATCATTTACTCCAAAATTAAATTTCTTAATAACTTTTTTTAATTCATGTCTTTATATTTTATACAAGTATTAATGATTCATTTATACATAATTAATTGAATTTGTACAATGACTCATACCTCTTAAAATTCAAGATATATATATATATACACACACACACACATACACACACACAATATTGGCGTACACGCACGTTGCGGCGATAATGATTAGTTTAATTCGATGAACATACAATTGTTTTTAGCGAATAGTCTCGTTATGGTCGGCATTGTTTCATTTTATAACGAAAGTAAAACTACGCTATACTTTTAATTAAAAACTTGAAGTACGGGTACACATAAAATGCGGCAAGGTTAATAGTTTACTTGAATTAATAGTTTAGTTTCTGTAACATGTTATATACCTAAGAACATACGAAACTCGTGTATTATTGTTGGTAAAGTTTGCAAATATTAAAAAGTTTATTTATCAATCAAATTCCATCTCCAACCTCTTTTTAATATTTGTGTATATGGTATTTTGGGGAACTCACTAAGATTCATGCTTACCGTGTTGTGTGTTATGTGTTTCAGGTACTTCTCAGGATCGCGAGAAGGCGCCGGCTTGATTGTACACATCTGTTCAAGACTATATTTGAGGATTTTGGGATAGCAACAATTGTTTTGTGGATTTTGTGTTTGACATTTGAGACAATTGTGGTTTTTGAGAAATATAACATGAGTTTTTATGTGTTTTAAAAATGAAAATTTTGGTTGAAATTTTAGAGTGTTACAAGTTGGTATCAGAGCGTTGGTTTGAGGGATTCAGATGTACTCTTAGATATGTTCGGACTTAAACTGAGGATTTGAGAAAGTTTTTCTAAAAAGAATTGATTTTTCTAAAATGAGGAAGAGCTTCATAGAGAAAACGAGACAGAACAGTGTGTACAATCAGTCAGATCCTGAACGGTGATTTCCCAAAATACCATTATTGTTTATATTATGAGATATTTATGAGATACTAGAGCTGCATACTAGAGAATAGGCTAGGTACCTCAGAAATTAGGGCTAGAGTTTCCTGATTCATGATGCCTTAACCTAGGGTATGCTATTGATTGATTTTATCTACTATTTGTTCTATATGTGTACTGAGTGGGGAGAAATATAGTTGGAACCTTTAGAGAGAGTTTGAGTAATCTAGGAGAGATACCTGGATGAGCATTAAGGAATCTACCGAGAGAGTAGTTGAGATCCGTGAGGAATAGAGTACTGTGAGTTAGGTTCCTGGGAGGAGGACTTGAGATGATTGCGGGTTGGTGTGGAAGGTAGTATCGTGCCCGTACTATTGAAAACACCAGATTTGTATGCTACCCAAGTAAGAATATTAGGATGCTAAGGAGCGTGTAGGGGTGGGTAATCGAGTGAGTATGAGTATTGAGCTAGTCTCTGATGATTTTTTGTTTGTGTTTCAGAGACACTGTGGTGATTACCCGCAACAACCCTGGGGGTAGTGGTGCTAGTGACGAGGAGATCCGTCAGATCATTCATGAGTAGGTGGCCGCAACTATCCGACAGGCCATACCGAAGATGTTTGGGTCTATTAAGACCACATTGATTAAGACATTCGATGAGCGATATGCCGCTGTTACGGAGCCTGCTGCTGCTGCAGCCACCGCGGCCATAGCTGCACCTAGGCCATAAGGAGGTGACTTCTTGTTGTTTCGTGAGTTTAACATCACGAAGCCACCAGAGTTTGATGGGATGCATGATCCGATAGCTGTCATGAGATGGATCTCTGACATTGAGGGGTGTTTTTATACGTGTTCATGTCCAAAGCATCTGAGAGTCCGGTTCACGCTAAACCAGCTTCGCTTGGGAGCGAAGGACTGGTGGAAGTTTGTGACGACTGATTTTACCCCTGTAGATCATGCTGCAGTGACTTGGGAGAGGTTCACCAAGTTGTTACGAGAAGAGTATGTTCCCTAGGTGGAGAGGGAACGTTTGACACATGAGTTTCTGTCTCTCAAGCAGAAGACAGAGTCGGTGACTGAGATTACGAGGATGTTCCATGAGAGGGTGTTGTTTTGCCCTGAGCACGTGTCCACTGAGCAGGCACGTGTGAGTCGGTATCTGAGCATCTTGAGGACAGATATACGGAAGTTCGTGGCAAAATCATTGATGCGTGCAAATAGCTACACCTAATTATAAATTTATAACCTAACTAACTTAACTAATTAATTTACAATATCGATCACAGGGAACAAATTTAACTAATTAATTTACCTACTATTAAATTAACCTAATTAATTTACCTACTATTAAATTAACCTAATTTCCTAGCAAAGTAGTGGGTTTTATCTAATTTTGCAAGTTTAAATGAACTTAATTCCTTAACACAATTCAATCAATAAACAAAACACTTATGTTAGTTCGAATCCACTTTCCCTCAATGGTTTATAAATTAATTATGACTACTCCTATTGGTTACCAATTAAAACATTATTAGCAATTCAATTTTAAATTTACTAATATCAATTAATTCAGGTAGATCTATGTATGGTCACACATAATTTAACATAGAATCAATTATTGAATAATATTGGAGCTATGTAAGATTAGGTTGACAAACACAAATTATGGTCATAATATGAGTTCTCTAGCACAGCCTAATTTAATAATTCAATTCCTTCACAGAGATCGGTTCGATCTTAGCTCTAATAATCTAATGTTCATTAAATTACTAGGTATTCAAATTCATGTAGAATAATCGTCACTAACTACATAGAATAAGAAGTTTAAGCAATCTAATTATCAAATCAAGCATGCTAGGTATATCAATCAAACACAAGACATAACCAACAAGCAAAGTCTAGATTAATAGAATAAAACCATGAGTTCCAGCTTCATCTAGCTAACAGAAGCAACTAGATTATCTGGACATTCTAACAAATAAACACAAACAATCCATAGTAAAAAACATATTAAAAGTACCAAACTAAATATCGAATTATGACTTCTTCTTCCTCCTTGGTGTTAAGAACAATGCCCAGGCCTTCTTTTTCTGTGATTTTCGACTTCTGAAACCTTTCCAAGTCAGCCAACCTCCTTAAATCGTATGGATAATGTCTTATTTATATTTTCTGAATTATCCGCGCTCACGTCGTGAGCAAGTAAGTCTCACGTCGTCAGCTCAACATCTATCCGTGTTGACAAGGATTCTTCTATGCGATGCTTATCTTTTGGAATGTCCCAACTCACGTCATGAGCCTTCAATACTCATGTTGTGAGTGAGTATTTTTGCTAGATTTTTATTCTTTCAAGTCTTCATCCTCCAAAGTATTCTTTGACACTTTTAGTCCTTTTTCTTTAATATGTCTTCTATTTGGCTGCAAAATACAATTTAACCTTATAAGTATCATTATTCCATACAAATGACCAAAATATTAATTAAAATGTACTTAAATATTGCCTAAAAACATGTATAGATATGGGAATATCACTCATCTTATCGGACATTAGCTGAGCTGCAAACCAATGCCAGGAGGAGAGAATTGAACTAGAGATTCAGACCAGGGAGGAGGGAGAGCAGCAGGGGAGAGATAGGAGACCGATACAGTTGCAGCCGACAACTAAGATGCTAAACCCACTGATTCGCGACCTGGAGGCCAGAAGGGCCGCACTTGTAGCAAGTACGACAAGAGCCACGAGGGGTCTTGCTGAGCATGGATTTGCTACAAATGTGGTAAGGAGGGGCACATGGCAAGGGACTACCCCAAGGGATTTTCTGTATGCTTTTACTGCAACCAGACGGGCCATCGGAAGGCCGAGTGTCCCCAGCTCACTTAGGGAGTAGCCCAGGCAGCTGCTCCT